CCCCACAAAAGGCTCTATGACCAAAGCATGGTAAAAAAAAAAAAAAAAAAAAAAATTCTGCCATATATGTCTATTCTAGAGATATTTTGTTACACCTTTACTTATTATTATTAGTAGTAGTAGTAAAATTTACATATGTGGTTTCAACAACCAGATGCATTTACACTTGTCAAGTTTTGTCTGGAATGCGGCCCAGACCACCTCTTGAAGTGGTTTGAGCGATCGGATTTATATCCGTCTCGAATGCGTTTCGGAGGGCATTAAACACCTGGTCTTTTCACGATCGGATAGCTATCAGATCAGAAAAAAGTGCATGAAGTGACCAGGTGTAAACAGGCCCATGTTACACAACATGCGTTCTCTTTCTCAACTATTTAACGTTCCAAAACTGACTGTGTTTAACTGGATACTCGCCAAGATGGGCATTTTGACATAATGTATTTGAACGTTTTGGCGCAGTTAGCCACTAATTTTGGTATTTGTGGCTCACAAGCTGTTTGAGACTGAGCGTGGCTTGTGCGCTCCACTAATATTGATCAGTTCTAGTGCGTGCGCTTTTGGTGTAAGTGCGAAACCTGCGGGAATGTCTAAAATAATGCGCAATACAAGCATTTAACCGGCGCGAATGAGACGTGTGTGTGTGTGTGTGAGAGAAGGGGTCGTCGGAGAGATGAGAGTGAGAATGCGCGGCTGACGTTATTGCCTGTGCCGCTGGTAACAAAACGGATCGGCTCGGCGGCTCGGAAAAGTTAGACTGATTGGTTGATCACCGATCCGGGCCGATCATGAGGAAAATCAGCTGATTCCGATCCCTGGATCCCTGGCCGTTGCATCGCTAGCTTGAACGTGCGTTGGAAGCTCTAGTCCCACAGAGTGCTCCAAAGATGTTTGTTACATTTACATTTGCAAGACGTCTCTCTCATCAGAATTTTGACCCATTTCCCAATATTAGAATTTACATTAAAATAGTTTAGTCATCAACGTTTTGCCACACCTGCCAATGACAAGTGATTGATTAGATGGTTTCCTTTTTCCTGGTCAATAAGTCTTTTATTTATTATTTATATTTGTTTAATTATATTTACTAATCTACTTTATTTATTTATTTAGTCTGTCAGGGAATAATATGAACTTAAAGTGAGGATGGACAAGGCAAGATAAGGTAAAGCTTGACCTCTCTGCACTGTAAAACTTCTTGATAGTACAAAAACAAATTACTGTTAAGACCAGAGAAGGGAGGTGACAGAACATAGCAGCACAAGGCCTATGTATTCTCTTCAAAAATGATTTATTTTGTCCCTCTTTATGACCAGGAAATGGCTAACTCAATTGAACATATTGGTTAAGAGTCACAGGGGACTGCATTTGGACTGTTTAGCACATTTGCTTAACTGCAAATGGACAAATTAACAGTGACTCCATGCTCTGGCTAAACAGTTGGTTTGCTTTGCACTAATGACTTTTTAATGAGGGCCGGACAGGATGCTAAAGAGCATATATCTGTGGTGCAGTCCTTGAATCTCCCGAGAGTGTACACCTCCCCACCCAACCCCCTGAGACGGCCTTTGATTTCAGGCCTCAGTGTCTCATTTTTGCACGGCCTGTTTTGGTGCAGTAGTGAGAGGGTACATACTGGGTTTTGAGAGCAAACCGGCTCTATCTCCTCTTCGCCACATCACAGAGCCCTAGCAGTGATGTTACATAATAATACTACGCATCCCATGCCTAAATGGATTACGCCAGAACCAAGTTTGCTTGGCTCATCAGATCTTACAAGACTTCATTAGACTTTGTTTGATTCATGCATTGACAATAATTAATTTTGCTCATGAAATTATACTTAATGCACTGCTGTAATTTGTATGCACAAGAATGTGCATTTTATTAGCAAGAAAACATTTTATTTGGGCCATGGCTGTCTAATTTTCTTTTAATGTATTATTTTTGTTTCTTCCAATTTTGCTAATAGGGCAGAATCTTTAAACTTCAAATATGTTCCCGTTGGCTGTGATTTTGTTGCTTCTCTCAGCATTCAGTGAGAACAGAAAAATTACTTGACACTCAAATGGTCGTGTCGCACCTGGTCAGGACATGGTGTGAGAGTGACAAGCATGAGTCAAGTTGTGATTGACAAGCAGCCTCTCCTGCTTTCAATCTCAGCAGTGTTGGTTGCTTGATACCAGTTGGGCTCATTAATGCAGCTCTAAAACCACGGGGATCATTCATCCCATTACCCTTCATCAGTGATTTCTGATACATCTGTCGAGGAGGTCTGCTCCAAACCTCAGAAATAATTTCAAAGTTTCTTCTCAAAGTATTGTATTTATAATCAGATCATGATTGGCTGGCCTTCTTAGTTTAGGTTTTGTGTTTTGTCTGACATTACTAATTTGGATTATGAGCAGCAGATGGCTGGTTAGTGTTTTATTAGGGCTGGGTAAAAAATCTCGATATCTCTGTATTAATCGATTCTCATTTTTACGGAACGATATCGATTCTTAAATCCCAAGAATCGATTAGTCTAGCCGGTTTTCAGTTGTTTCAACAACCAGATGCATTTACACTTGTCAAGTTTTGTCTGGAATGCGGCCCAGACCACCTCTTGAAGTGGTTTGAGCGATCGGATTTATATCCGTCTCGAATGCGTTTCGGAGGGCATTAAACACCTGGTCTTTTCACGATCGGATAGCTATCAGATCAGAAAAAAGTGCATGAAGTGACCAGGTGTAAACAGGCCCATGTTACACAACATGCGTTCTCTTTCTCAACTATTTAACGTTCCAAAACTGACTGTGTTTAACTGGATACTCGCCAAGATGGGCATTTTGACATAATTTTGTATGTATTTGAATATTTTAGCACAGTTAGCCACTCATTTTGGTATTTGTGGGTCACAAGCTGTTTGAGACTGAGTGTGGCTTGTGTGCGCTCCACTAATATTGATCAGTTCTGGAGCGCGCGCTTTTGGTGTAAGCGCGAAACCTTGCAGGAATGACTAAAATAATGCGCAATACAAGCATTTAACCGGAGCGAAAGAGACGTGTGTGAGAGAGAAGGGGTCGTCGGAGAGAAGAGAGCAAGAATGCGCGGCTGACGTTATTGCCTGTGCCGCTGGTAACAAAACGGATCGGCTCGGAAGCGGAAAGAAGTTAGACTGATTGGTTGATCACCGATCCGGGCCGATCATGAGGAAAATCAGCTGATTCCGATCCCTGGCCGATTGATTGGTGCATCTCTAGTTCAAAGGTTTCGGGTTGGTAAGGCTGCATTTATTTGATCAAAAACTAGGGATGCACTGAAATGAAAATTCTGGACTGAAACCGAAATTTCTGGATGCACTTGGCTGAAAACGGAAACTGAAAATGCTTTTTAATAATTCTGTATTATTTTATTAAATAATATGAGGTCATTTTGCAAGACCTTTCTATTTAACTCAATACATATAGGCACATATGGGATTCTCTCACAAACAATCCCAACATGAGGCGAATAAACTAAAGCAACCCCACTCTGTTCCTCCGGTCTTCCCTTGACAGCTTGTGAACTAATCAGGCAGTAAACAAAGCTGAGGGAGCGAAAGAGAACGACTAGAAAAAATGGATAAAAGAGATATCAAGACTTACCCTGAGCCAGCATGCTGAACTCCAAGAAGAGGGCGATGTGGTAGAGCTCCATGGCCTCTTCGGCTCGTCTCATGCACCCTCTTCCAGCCACCAGTGCCTGAACTTCACCCAGACTGCCTTCAGAAGGGCTCCCCCGCAGCACTAGCGAAAGGTCCACCGCATCGGTGTACATGCAGTGCAAGACCACACGGGCGTATTTCTTGGGAATGATGGATTCGTCGAGGATAATACGGGTAGGGGTTTGCAGAGTTCGCTCGGTGATCTCCTCCCCCGAGCGGATGCGTCGTTGCAGCAGGTTGCGGAAGAAGGGCGAGCGCGCTGAAAGCACGGCCTTGTGGGCCCTTAGCTCCTCATCAGGCGAGCTGTGGTTCACCCCTGCGTTTCCACCTCCCACGCCACTAGGAACAGGTCCACCTGCTCCGAAAGCATCAACCAGCTCAGAGTCCGAGGAGAAGCTAAGCAGCGAGTCAAAATACGGCATGTGCTCACAGATTTTTCGCATGTCGGCTTCTAAGGAGTTGGGCGTACCGAACTCCTCACTCAGTCTGACCAGCACATCCACATTCTGCAACCTCACGTCCTCCGAGCCCAGCTCACCTGTGTAGAGGTAATGCAGCAATGAGGAGAACATGGGGGCATCCATGCCTGCCGTCCCAACATCCAACAACACCTCTGCCCCGTAACCTGGCGATGACGAAAGCAGGGTTTTGAAGAATGGGCAGCGGGCAGCCAGAATGGCTCGGTGTGCTGGGAAGCAGGAATCCTGGAAGATCAGGTCCACATCAGTGCAGTACTTGTGCTGATAAAGGGTGGCTAAATCACGCTGCAGGGTGCGAGCCTCGGGGCGGGCTAGGCCTGCCTGCAGACTGAGATCTTTAAGGGCTGCCGTGCCCTCATACTCCTCCACCAGGGCATTGACGTCGCGCACGTCCCACCCCGAGAGGAGCTCACGCATCTGCCGCGCATGATCAGCAGACCGACTAGACTTGCGTCGCTTAATGAATCTCCTTTTGAGCGTGGCCAAACCGGAGCTCTTTTTCTTTTTGTCCTGAGGTTTTTCAGGGCCATGTTCTAGGCTGTAGAGCTTGGATTCACCGCCATAACCCTGTGGTGCATAGGAGGCGCCTGGTGACAGAAAAGAAACACGCTGTGTAAGAGTCTGGGAGCCTTCAAAGTTGTCAGCAGGAAAATATGCATTGTGATGTCTGCTGACATTATAATTAATTTTTATTCCAAATAAGTGCAACACCACAGGGCTTTGCTTTTTGCAAGTGCTTCAGAACAAATATGAAATACACTTTACTTTTAATGACATTGGACTGATGGTGTAAATTGAATGCAATGTGAGTACAACAATTACACAACTAAATTGAACTTGAGTTCACATAATTGTCTCTATAACAGTCCCAAAAAAAAACATTTATTGTATGGAGAAATTTAAGTGATGTGTGTGGACAAGACTTTACTTAATCTATAGAAATTAAAATATGAATCAGGGATGTTCATTTCGTTTATTTTTCCTAACCGACAACAGACACTCGTTAACCGATTGTTAACGTTAACCGACAAGACTATTTTAAATTAGAATTTAATTAAGTTAGAAAGGATAAGTGTCTGTGACCCGTTAAAAAATACAAACATTTGTTTCCCGGGGATTCATTTTACATGCGCAAAAAGCAGCAAACAACAGAACATGAGGATTCACATCATATCACATCACGCACCTGCAGCGCTTCTGCGAGCAGAGAAAAACATAATAAAGCTAGGCTATATATATATATAATGAATAAATAGGCCTATACGAGAAATATATTTTTACTTAAATAATAAATTAAGAAAATTAAAAGAAAAACTGTGCAACAAGTAGCGTAGTATGCAGAGTTTTGATTCATTTTTGTGCTGCGCAAAAGGAAACATACGGCAGAAAGCGGCATCCTGTTTTTCTTTAGGCTTATTTTACTAAAGCACAAAGATTTGTTTTTATTGGGAACGTACACAAATAAAGGCAAACATTTTACAATTTCGATTATCTTTAGGACTAAAAGGAGTAAAAAATTCTAGTGATTGCGCCGGCGCTGGTAAGCTTTGCTACCTTGACAATGCAGCCTGTTCATTATCATAATAAAATACAGTCAGTCAAACATATGGGGAAAAAAAACTATGCAGTAAAAAAAGTAAAATCTGTGCCGTTAAGTGTCATCACAGTACTGCCGTGATGTTATGCAAAACATTTGTTTTACATGAATATTGGAACGCCAGTGAAGTACATAATAAATAATAATTTATTTATTCAAATACAATCGCAAATACGGAAACATTTGATTTTGTGTGGAATGAGAGACCCAACGTCGGTTTCAGTTTCGTTTTAGCCTAAATGAATTTGTTTTGGCTTGTCGTTTATATTACTATAGCTTCTTATATTTTTAATTCTTGTTCTTTTCTAAATACTGTTTATTGAAAGGATTTGTTGTGGAGTGAGGAGAACTAAAATAGCCTAGATATGTTTACAGTGTTTGTTATAATGTTTGTAAACATTTCGCGTCGGCATTAGGCATTTCTGAATGAAATAAAAAACGCGACTTATACGCGACTTATGTTTTTTCCCCCCTAAAAAACTAATTTTTTATACGCATAGCGTATTTTAACCATGCAGCAAACCTTTTTAAATATTTTGATAAATTACTGAAAAAATTTATAATTAAATGACTTTTTAAACCATTTAACTGATTGTATTAATCGGTCAAAATTCTTACGGTCCGTTAAACGGTTAAAATGAACATCCCTAATATGAATTCAAAATATTTAATTCCCTTTTTTAAATATTCATATATTCTGATCATCCCTTGAAGGAGTACTGCAAATAAACATTCAACTTTCAAACAGTAAAGTATGCATCCCCAAACCATTTATTGTGCACTAAAACTGAACTAAACTTGAGTAGCTTAAATTGCATCTCTTCACATCAATTAGGCATAAAATAAGACTATGAGAAATAAAAAAATCATCCTCTAGAGAAATGTAGGTGGTATTTTGGAATTAGATGTTTTTAAGAGAGTAGAGTGACAATGCTTAAAATAATTGGAAATTAAAACAAATTCAAAAAGCTGGATTTTTTTAAACAGTGCATGCAAAACATCATTTCTTGACGTAGCATTGCATAAACAATTCCAATTTGAAAAAGGAAAGTATGTATCCTCAAACCACTTAATGTGCACTTTTAACTTTTCCCCCCTCTAAATCTCTAAATTTTCACCTGCCAAAAAAGGAAACTATGAAGTCATCTAATGTCCTCCCCAGCATGGCTAATATCTCCCTGACGACACTTTATGTCTCAATCCAATGTTCCATTTCTCATTGTAGGCCCAATGTCATGCATGGCTTAGCATTTTGAAAGCACCATTACTTTACTGATCTCAAAGACAGCAAAGTCATGAAAATATTCACATCAGAATATGCCGTTAAAGCCTCTGTGGGATACTGAAGGAAAAAAACTACGAAGCAACTGCTGACAGTTGTGATACAATTTCCAAGCCTTTAAATAAATGAATACAGACAAGATGTTACAGTGAAAGAATATGAAGACTGTCCCAGCTGGTGAAGTCAATAATTTAATGAGATTCTATTTCTCTGTGCTGTTGAACTGCCTCTGAACATGAATACTGTTCTTTGTTTTTGGTTTGTTTAGTTTTTTTATTTTTTTTAAGTATAACTATTTTATATTCTAGTCAAAGGGGAACTTCAGTCTTTGAGAGAGATTTCCTTTTCTTGTATTAAGAAAAAACATCATCATAATATTGGAATGTAGTCCAGAGAATTTGGGTCTGATATATGCCATCTGAAAGCGGAAAAATATGTAATAGCCATAACCGTCAGCACTTTTCTATTGTTATCGATCACAATAGTTGCTAAACTAGGAACAACAAATGTCTCTTTAATAGTATTGAAATGGGAGTTTACCTATGAAGGTCTGCTGGGTCTGTGGGTTACCCCCGAATCGAGGGGAGCACGAGTGAGGGTAGCTGGAGGCATTCACACCCATCCTCTCCCCCCTTCTTCCTCCTCTTAGTCACCCTGCTGGATCATTCCGTCCGAGCGCTGACGCACTGAGTAGCTCACGGCTCTGCTCAATCAGACCTATATGAATGTGGCGACACTGCAGCGATGTCCGTCATTCCTGGGAAAGAGAGAGAGGTGGGGGTAGAGAATACATTAAACGTCAACAAGATTGAACGTCATGGAATCTGGACAAACAAAAGATTAATATAATAATATACTATTACACTATATCTCAATATTATAATATTTACGAATATTATATAATTAGAATTATTTTATTATAATATTTATAATCAAATTAATACTACAATTATTGTAATCAATTCTAATTACCTAAAAAGAATCAACAATTATATATAAATTATTAATAAATACAAATCTTTTTTTTTTCTTCTTTTTTTTTAAGAAAAGCAATCAACTTTGTAAAATGGCATTGAATTGTTCTTGTTCTAATCTGAAAGGAAGGCAAACAAAACAAACAATACGAGCAAACCAAACAGACTACATAAGCAGAGCTTTGATGTTTACTTCTGCTCTTGAAGACCATTACAATACTGCTGGAGGATTCGGATTTATTCAAACCCTCCCACTGATGTCATGCTAATGCAATCTGACACAGAGGCACAACTGGCTACAGTACTTCACATCTCTTTTTAGTTCTCTGCAATCTCCAAATTTTGGCCTGTAACCTTGCTTTGGCCTTCAGTACTCAAGGCTACAACTTCACTCCATCGGCACAATACATAATTTCTAGAAATCCAGACATCTTCCTTTGAACTGACCTGGCAACAAATTGAATACTGTTAGTTCTTTGCCAAATATGAATTTTCTTGGGGAGGTGGAAGACTGGGTTTTGCTGCATCCAGTTGAAGAGCTATTGCTCCATCCAGATATTTATGTTTCATATTACATTCCAACCTTGCGCTGCTGGAAACTCGTCATACGGGGAGCCCATAACAGTTTGGGGAGACATAAATGCTTTACATCCCCCACTTGTGACACTGAGAGTGGGCTGAAAAGAGAATCATTTTTCCAGGCTGAGCCAAAGCCTAAGAACACCAGACAAAGCCATCTTTAGCTTTACATACACTGCTAAACCTCGATTAGACTTCCACTGCATGTGCGCTAAATCACAGATCCCTCGTCTGCTGGCTCAATACTGGACGGAGTTGTTTGTGAAATCCCCAGAGGTCAGAGCGATCAAGACTGCTTTCCTCTGACAGGGTGTGAACGAAGCTGTCTTCAGTGGAAATGTGTTCCAATGTGCATTCAACTGATGGAAATCCCGTTTCTATGAATGTTCAGTTGCACAGAGGCTACAGAAATTTTATTTGCTGTTTTGCTAAAATACAGCCACTTCATTAAGTGACCACTATCATTTTTTTTTACTTCAATATATTCTGACAGCTGCTTCAAAAACAGCTTAAATAAGTTAAGTTAATTAAAAAAGAATTTCTTAAATCAAATTGTTTTGGATATTAAAATATATTGTCAAATTTGTAAGAGTAATAAACATAAGCTTATTTCCAAGCTTATTTTCTTATTTCCTGCCTAAGTAGGCACCATCTTAAAGGGTTAGCTCACCCAAAAATGAAAATTAGCCCATAAATTACTCATCCTCAAGTAATCCTAGGTGTATATGACTTTGTTCTTTCAGATGAATCCAGTCGGAGCTATATAAAAAATTGTCTTTGATCTTTCAAGCCGTTTAATGGTACTCAGCGGGTGTTGCATGCTTCAGTCCAAAACAAGTTAAATAAAAAGTGGCCATCCATAAAAAAAAAAAAGTGTCTCACACGGCTCCAGGGGGGTGAACAAAGGTATTCTGTAGCGAATCGATGCGTTTTTGTAAGAAAAATATCCATATTCAAAACGTAATAATCACTTTAATGTAGGGCTGCACGATTATGACAAAAATCATAATTGTCGATTATTCCCTTGAAAGTGTAATTGCGATTATTAATTATGATGATCACTATTTACATTGAATGATGTTGTTACCATTGTTTGATGCAACTGCATGCCATATTTTTATATGAAAATAAACAAGCTGAAAACACTCTGACTGAAAAACCTTTAGTGCTTTTCTATAGTATTATGCCTCAAATGTCAAATATACATCGGATTGGTTTCTTCTTTAAATTATAAAAAAGTAAAAATATGAATGGTATTATAATGTTATACTAAAACTATAACTAAAACAATGGAAAACCCCTTAAGATAACATGTATAAAGCAAAAAACATATCTTAAGCGTGCAGAATAATATAAGTGGACTTTGAACGATTAATTGCCGCTTTGAACGATTACGTAATTGTGGCATCCATAATTGTAATTGTGATTAGAAATTTGATTAATTGTGCAGCCCTACTTTAATCTAGCTTGCATGCGCAGTGCTGACCTCAGAGGTCATCCACCCGGAACTGCTTCGCTTTACAACAGGGCAGGCAAGCTACATTAAAGTGATTATTAAGTTTTGAATATGGATATTTTTCTTACAAAAATGCATCGATTCGCTACAGAAGGTCTTTGTTCACCCCCCGGAGCCGTGTGAGACACTTTTTATTTAACTTGTTTTGGATTGAAGCATGCAACACCCGCTGACTGCCATGAAACAGCTTGAAAGATCAAAGACTATTTTTAATATAACTCCGACTGGATTCGTCTGAAAGAAGAAAGTCATATACACCTAGGATGACTTGAGGGTAAGTAATTTATGGGCTAATTTTCATTTTTGGGTGAACTAACCCTTTAACAGTCATTAGAGCAATTAGAGCAAACAAACTTATACATATCTGGTCACCATTTCTATGATTCGCAGTGACATCAGAGGGACAAGCATATGTAATCGCAGACTTATGTTTGGCGTTTAGTCTCTTTCACGTTGTGTTTGGAATGTTCGCAACATCAAAGCAGCAGTTTTAATGCAAACAGCAGATTCTTTAGTTGGATCTTCAACATCAAAGCGCTGTGGCATTAATATATATAAATAAATAAAAAAGTTAACTTGGCAAAAAAGGGCTATCATTTAACTTCTGACCTTTGTCCTTGAAATTATTCAAATTTTGCAGATATGATATGTAGGGTATGAAATTAAAACCTGCCACCATCCAATGTGGTATGTTTTGCAAAGTGGCAAGTAATTTTGCTTATCTGCCAGCCACTGTGGCATGAGACCTGAACAACATCTCGGATTGACACTGACAAGAAATGCCATTACAGCGGTTTCAGCTTAATGTCCACTGTGTGGATTATTTATAACATGAGAAAAGAGAGCTCTGCAGGTTCACTTTATTTTGATATTGCCTAATTTCAAATATTTGTGTCTTTTTTCACAATACTATACAAAGTGAATGACATGCAATGATAGAAAATTATTAATATTACAACAATCATTGTTTTAATAATTGCCCCAGGGCTACTGTGTTTGGTTTTTCTAGTTTAATAATAAAAATAATACTAATGACAACAACAATGACGCTATTATTACTATTATTATTATATAGCTGCTAGTTAGTTAATAATAATAATTATTATTATTGCTTTAGTAGCTATTAATAATAAAAATAATAGTAAAAAGTTATTTAATAATATAATAATAATAAAAAATAACAATTATTGTAATAGCAACTATTATTATTATTGCTATAGTTGCTATTATTAATAAATAAACTATAAAAAGTAAGAGCAACTATTATTATTACTATTAAATAATAATAATAATAATAATTATTATTATTATTAATAATAATAATAATTATTATTATTATTATTAATAATAATAATAATAAGTTGCTATTTTTTTAAACTAGAACTGGAAAACCTACCAATAACATTAGGGTCTAAAAAACAAGAGTGTGGGGAAAAAGTTAATTAAGAGCCTAACTAAAGCACACCAACGAAGTTCAATGTGAATGCTATTAAGGAAATTGTATATACTTTACATATATTTTACCCTCTATATGTTGGGTGGTCTCTGACATCCCCAGTGACCTTAATGATAAAGACTTACAAGCTCTTGAAAAAAGTTTTTGATGTGTTCACCTGTCCAACAGCTTATTTCACTGGTACTGTCAGCAGAGAACCCTAAAACAGGACTCTAAATGTCACATTCTTAACTAAAAAAAAAAAGGAAATGACAATCTCCAGTCAAAAGAAAATCTTTAGAGAATGAGGTGCAAAGCTAAGCAACAGTTTATCACATATTTCATCATTCCAGCAAAGCGTAAACAGATAGACTCAGCCACTGGAGAACACATCAAATTTACAATTACTGCGAAAATACTGCCACTGTGAACTTGAAGAGTGTTGCTGAATTTGCATTCACTCAGCAGTCAGCACATCCGAACCCTCCATCAGGTGAAGTAGCTGTGCATTGTTTAATAAAGTTGCTTTAAAGTACTAAAAACATTAGTCAAGGATAAGGCCTGCATTGAGGTACAGCAGTCTCATTATAAACACTCGGCAGTGAAAAATGATAATCACAGTGTCCGATGCAACAACTGTCTCTCAACGTGAGTGACAGGAATGGAGAGGGAATAAATGAACAGTTCTTTAATGCTGCAGAGCTCCAGAGCAGGCACGGACACAGACAGCAGTTATGTAAGCAAGCAGGAGAGTGGAGCAGCTTTGCCAGATTAGGCAAATCAATAGGGAGCCTCTGCACCGTTGCTGCAGGGGAAAGTATCAACAATCCACCTCAAGGTTTTCAAACCGTCTAGGTATGCTTCCACCCAAAACAACATTTAAAGCTTCAGAAAGACAACGTTTTCTTTTATTCGGACTACAAATCTAAAGAAAAGAGACAGCAGAGTGAAACATCGAGAAATGTGTGCCCTGTGCATCAGCAAACCTCAAACTGGGTCACATAAATCAGCCTGTATACTCGTTCATCAATTGCAAGAGGTGGTTTTCCTTGTAGCTGCCTCTGTCCCAGCTTCATCCCCATTCTTATATCGACTTCAGTGGAATAGGGAAATTGATCCTTGATCAATGTTTTTTTTCCTCTCTGGTTTAGAAGGATAAGAATCAGCTTGATAAAGAAAGGTCAGTGTTTAACAGAAGCACCTGTTTCAGACAGGCTGTCTGAATGGGCTCTTAATGTTTGAAAAAGTCAAGT